CTGCATGTTTAGCCATTATCTCATTTTTATTGTTAATTTCAGTAGGTCTAAATTTTGTCGCACTATGTTTTGTATTATTGTAAGTAGATACAATTTCTCGTAAAACATCAACGTAGTGTTTTGTATGTGAAAACGTGAAATAACGCCACATGCGTTCTTTCAACGTGTGGTTAAACCGTTCAACAACTGCAGCCTTGACATCAGAGTTTCTTACAGCTCTAAAAATAATCTGTTTTTTGTTTAGAGTTTTTTGAAATTCAGAACCTAGGAATTCTTAGCTCCGGCCTGTCTACATTATACGTGGTAATATGTTATTACTCTGTTTGAAAATTCGTGTCACTGCACGGGTAATAGTTAAACTTGTTTGGTCCTGTAATGGCTCGGCCCATGCAAATTTGCTTAAAATATCGATAACAACTAATAAATATTCTATGTTATTGTTGTGTGTAGAAATATTACATAAATCAACTAAATCAGCCTCCCATACATCGTCAGCATGGGAAACATAATATGTACGTCTGGAAAAATGCCGGCGTATCATATGATGCAGCGTATAGGTGTCTTGATTTTTGAACCAGTTTTTTACATTATCACGGAAGATGTTTTTTGTATAATTTAATAGATGTGTAGCGCCCGCGAAGCCTGCACAATGTTTGGGGTTGTAATATATTTTCTTTAGTGACGCCATTATTTGAATAAAAATTCCACCCAGCGGTTTCTTTTACACTTTTTCTTTAAGAGTCCAGTACCTTCTTGTGATGTACCACTAGCAGCACTGGAAAAACAGGTCTCATTTACTTCACAATCACTCCGTGATTTCATCGACGACGTGCCTTTAGCTATTACGGCAGGTATTATGAGATGCCGTGTCCGTGTGACACGTATTTTCGATGAATAACCCCGGTAAACTGAGCTCTACCTATTGCGTATTCATTTTTTTAGACCTCATAGCATCGTTGAAAAGATCTACAATATTTGAGCCTGGTACAACAGTGCCATCAATACTGACAATATCTGTATTTTCTCAAGAGATAACATCATAAGATAGCTGAGCGTTGCTTTCAACTCAAGTAAAATAATGCGCTGAAAATAGCTGTGTGCTTTTTCCGTGATGCGCTTGCGTGAAGAAATGTTAATGTTACGGAAATATGGCACTAACGTTTTGGTCATCTAAATTATATTGATTTGGCTCAAGTATAACGTACGTCTATGAAGCTAGACATCAATAGTCAAGTCAAGAATTTAGAGCCCTGTGATATTTGTTTAAGGGGAAAGATGACTCAACTACCTTTCCCAAGAGGTGGTCTATCCTCATCAGAGTTATTGTATGTTATTCATTCTGATGTTGTTGGCCCAATGAGAACTCAATCGATAAACGGGGCTAAGTTTTATATTACATTTATAGATGATGCCTCAAGATGGTGCGAGGTATATTTATTGAGTCAGAAGAGTTGAGCTTTTTCTCAGTATAAAAACAGAGTAGAGAATTTAACTGGAAGAAAGATAAAATTTTCACAGTCACATCATGGGAGATAGTATCTTGGAGGTAAGTTTGACGCCTTGTTAAAAGAGTTGAGAATAGCAAGGCGGCTCAGCGTGCCCCGCACACCACAACAAAATGGGGTGGCGGAGAGACAGAACCGAACATTGTTAGACATGGCACGATGTCTCTTACTTCAATCTGGATTACCTACGATGTTTTGGGCAGAGGCCGTAGCCACGGCATGTTATATCAGAAATAGATCATTTACTGCAACCCTCAACGGTATGACTTCGTATGAAAAACGGTATAAAAAGTCTCCACAAATTAGTCACATGAGAACTTTCGGCTTGACCGTATATGTTGCTGACAAAAATCCTATCAAGGATAAATTATCACCAAGGTCTATTAAGGGTATTATCGTAGGTTACCCCCGTGAGTCAAAAAGATACAGAGTATGGATACCAGAATCCAGGAAAATAATCATTGAACGAGATATAAAATTTGTGGAGAAGAGTATCTGAAGATCTGTTGAGATTAACGAAACAGATGGCCTGAAGCTACTACCCGATAACTCCGGGGGAACCGAGAAACGATTTAATGAGTTAGAAATTGAAATTCCTGCTGAGATTTGGACGTTAAGCACTACCAGTTCGAGATCAGATAGCAATGGTCAAACTGAGCCTACCCCTCTAAGGGCTCGAGACGGTAACTTGCCCATATTTATACCAGTAGCGTGACGAGCCCGTGGTGGATCTAGAATATTAAGAACAGGAAATCGAGGTCGACCACGAAGACTTTTTCACTCGTATAGGTTAGAGACTGAAAGACAACATGATACAGACATAGGGAACGAAGACATCGAAGATGATGTATTTGCTTGATTTGCAGAGGTACCTCTTGACGAAGCTTTAAATAATGATGATGGAAAGGCTGCATAGGAACAAGCAATTTTGTCACAATTTCGTCAGAGGTCACAAGTATAGTCAAAAATAACACATTGAATATCACGACTTATCAAAACGGTCAAAATATTGTGGGTTGAAGATTCGTGTTAACGAAAAAGTATAATGATGATGGATCTATCAAGAAATATAAGGCAAGAATAGTAGCAAAAGGTTATAGTCAACGCTATGGACTTGAGTACCATTAAACTTTGGCACCGGTAGCAAGGCTGGACTCCATCAGATTAATCATTGCCCACAATGTTAAACAAAGTTACTTGATGAACTGAAAAAGGGAGGTAACGTTTGTCGATTAAATAAGGCTCTCTATTGTCTTAGTCAAGGAGGGAAACAGTGGTATGAAACCATTGATCAAAAATTAAAGGATCTAGGACTGTCTCTAACTGTCGGTGAGCCTTGTCTACTTGTCGCTCACTGCAACAAAAATATCCTATTAGTACTCTTATATGTAGACGATTTGTTGTTAGCTTCAGAAGACGAGGAGTGAATTAATGCGATAAAACTGGGTTTAGCATGAAGTTTTGATGTGAAGGATCTAGGCCTTGCCCAGAACTGTCTTGGTTTAGAAATAAGACAGAGAAGTAATGAAATTTCATTGACTCAAAAGAAGTACATTGAAGATATATTAAAACGTTTTCATATGGACGAGTGTAACCCAATCTTCACTCCAACCGAGCTCAACTCTAAGCTACCACCCAGTACATCAACATCAAAGTGTGATCAAAACATACCGTACAGAGAGCTTGTGGGAGTACTCATGTACTTGTCAGTTCGAACGAGACCCGATATCTCAAACACAGTCTCGAGACTTGCCCAGTTCACTAATTCACCAACCAAGGATTGGACAAAAGCAAAAAGAGTACTGCGTTACCTCGCAGGTACTCGTGACCTTGGTCTACAGTTAATTATAATAATTTATTACTTAATAACATAAAATTAAATAAAAATTAATAAATGAGGATAATTCCATATGTTTTATCATTGATTGTTTACCAATTACAAAATTATAATATACACTACTTACCAACTGGAAACTGCACGTGCTTTTATGAAAACATTAATGAACACGTGGTCTCAAATTCCTACAAAAGTAACTTACAATACTTACAACTTACCGCGCTACCATGCGGCCAGTACGTGAACAATAATGAATTATTATCGATCGATTAAATCGATATGCAAGTACGGTCTGTTGATAAAAGCGAAATTTGACAGATATTGATTTAAGGCTGGGCTGAAGTCAGAAAGTTTCCCGGAGTTGACTTTACGCCCTCGCGTTGTGCGGCAAAAGGCCGAAGCTTGACATCAATTGAAATTGAGTAGGTAACAATGAAATCGTTCGAAAAATGATAATTTTCAGGGATGCACTACAAAAAGGGAGCCTTAGGGCACCAAGAAATTTACAAATTTTAGAATAATCTGTTCCGAGCAAGACAGAGCACAAAATATATCTATCTATCTCCGTCTTATTTTTCAGAGAAGACTGCGAGTTCTGGCACTCCACTGGCAAGCTCTATCCCCTCCCTTCGTACCCAAGCGAGTAGCTTATAACTTATAAGTCTAAATACTAGAAGAGTTAATGTATTAGCTCTGCAGACAGAGCACTAGATTTTAATTTGCCGAGCCGGGTTTCAAACCCAGCCGCAACCAATTTTTTTTCTCTTGTTAAAATTGCATATAATTGCAATTTCAGGATATTCCCACTCTCCGTACCGAAGCCGACAACTTATAATTAATAAATATAAAATTTCAAAAGAATCTATGCTAGCTCTGTGGTCAGAGCGCCAGACTTTTATTTTGCCGATGAGGGTTCGATCCCAGCCACGACCAATTTTTTTTTTTACATTCTTTAAAATTACATATAATTATCATAATTACCTATTTATATTAGTTTAAAATTAATTTCTAAATTTTTCCGAAAACGACATGTATTCTCTTTATTAAAAAATGTAGATTCTATAAAACTTTAAAAAACAATCTTAATCCAACATGAATAGGTAATTATTGTAATTATGTGTAATTTCAACAACGAAAAAAGAAATCGGCCGTGACGGGGACCGAACCCTGCCCGACATAATAAAAGTCGCGTGCTCTGACCACAGAGCTAACATGTATTTACTTGTTATTTACATGTTTATAAGTCATAAGTTGCAGGCTTGGGTACGGAGAGTGGGGATAGAGCTTGCCGGCGAAGCGCCGGAACTCGCCGCGGATTGTTTCAACTGTTTTTTTGCTGTTTATTATTTTTGTTTGTTAAAAAAAAATCCTACAACTAATGTAAGTATATAAATATAAATTTTTCTGCACTACTTCAATTTTTTATTACTCTTCCGTCATTGATTAGAAAAATAATTATAGAAAAAATTAAAATTGATATTGAAAAATTAATTTTGGCATCCAAAAATTGCAATTACATGCAATTTTAACAAAAAAAAAATTTCTTAAAAATCTTTCCGTAACTGGGTTTGAACCCTGCTCGGCAAAATAAAGAACTGGCACTCTGACCACGGAGCTAGCATATCTTCATCTAATTTCTTCGTGTTCATTATTTTAAGCTGCTTACTTGGGTATGGAGTGTGGGTATCCAGCTTTCCGGCGATGTGCTGGAACTCGTCACAAATTGTTGTAAGTGCTCTTCATGTTTTATAATTATTCAAAAAAAACTGCTGCCCCTTTTGTAGCGACATAAAAACAAGTTTTTTCAAACTTTTTAATAACTTTCTTACTCTTCCGCTATAAATTGGAAGAGTAATTGATAAAAAAAATTTTTATTTAAAACTAATTTTGGCATGCTAAAATAACGCTTGTATATCATTAAAAAAAAAAAAGAGAAAAAAAAATTAGCTGCGGCGGGGTTTGAACTCGGCTCGGCAAATTAAAATTCTAGTGCTCTGTGTGCAGAGTTACTACATTAACTCTTCTATTGTTCATATTTATAAGTTATAAGCTACTCGCTTGGGTACGAAGGAAGGGGATAGAGCTTGCCGGCGAATTGCCAGAACTCGCTGCCGATTGTCGTATGCCTCTCTCTTTCTATGAACATGAGCCGTTTCTTACTTCTACTCATTCTTTTTTATGTGCAACACATGCGCAGAAAGATGGAATGAATAAGACTGCGACAGAAGATATAACGCTCTTTGTCACTTGTCTTAGGGCTCTGAGTAATTTTGATACGCACTGTCGTAAAAATCAATAATCATTCCATGCCTTTCAGAGACCATTGCTACGCCACCTGTCGAGAATGGAAAAAATACGATTCTGTGAATGATCACCTGAAATTTTTCTCGCGAAACTGTGTTTTATTTATTCGTTTTTTTGTTATAAAATATTTTTTTAAATATCCCGAACAATAGTATGTACATCAGAAAACAACGATTTACAGTATAGGTACACTGGTTATTGTGAAATAATTCATTTTCTCGTTGACGGCTGATGACAGCGGTATCCGCCGTGACACTTCTAAAATCTAGTGAAAAATGAGTGCATATCTTTATCTTCATTTTTAATTATGATGAAGTAATTGATGTTATTATATTGTTGTTTTCCGATGTGAAGAATAAAATAAGCTTTCGATTAAGTCCTAAATTAACTAAATTCATCCACTTTTGACGCCGTCATTTGTAGAGAAAAATTTGCTAGGAACTTTCTAGGGAGAAATCTCTCTACAGCCCAGCCTTAATATTATTGGAATCATATAGCTCAGTGGTTAGAGCACCAACCTTTTTTTTTGCTGGGCAGGGTTCGATCCCAGTCATAAGCAATTTTTTTTCTTTTTTTTTGCTTAAGTGACTTTATATACTTATAAATTAATTCATATATTTGATTAAATTATTCTTCCAATTGATTACGGAAAACAACTTGTTTTTCTGAAAATAAGCTGAGGGTGAAGAACAAGTTACTATGAATTCTCTTTTTTCGAAAATGTTGTCTTTAAAAGGCAATAGGAATTGATTTTGAACTTATATAAGCAACCAATTATTATATTTATATAAAATTTTAATGAAAAAATAAAGGAAAAAAAAATTGGCTATGACTGGGATCGAACCCTAATCGGTAAAATGAAAGCTTGGTGTTCTACTCACAGAGCTAACACATCATCTCCGACATTATGTTTATGTTTATAAATTGTGTAATACAGGCATGAGTACGAAGGGTAGGGATAGAGTTTGCCGGCGAAGTGCCGGAAATCCCCGTGGATTATTTCAACTACTTCTAAATATTTCTAAATTGCTTAAAAGAAAGCTACGTTCATATAGCTATAGTAAAAAAAGTGTTTATAACCCTGTTCATATGTTTTCTGACTCGGCGTCGATAAATTACATAATAATTGAGAAAAAAAAATCAAATCATTAGTAAGAATTCATTTTAGCATGTTAATATTATAATTACATGCAAATCTAACAAATAAAGAAGAAAAAAAAACTTTATCATGACTGGAATCGAACCCTGCCTAGCAAAATAAAAGACCGATGCTGTAACCACTGAGCTATTATGGATCCAATATGCTGATATATGCTTGAAAATTATAAGCTGCAGGCTTGGGCACAGAGAGTGGAGGTAGAGCTTGCCGGGGAAGTGCCGGAACTCGCCACAGATTGTTTAAACTACTTTTCAATGTTAATAATAATATGATTAACTTGTTAATAACATGTTAATAACATAACATTGCATGTAAAGATGTATAAGTTGTTAAACACAGGCTATTATCAATGTATTTATACAAAAAAAAAGTTTATGGCTCTGTTTAAATATTTTCCGACTTAGCGTCAATAAATTCAATGAGTAAAGAGAAAAAAAAATCAAATCGTTATAAAGGATTAATTATGGCATGTCAATATTATAATTACATGCTAATCTAACGAATAAAGTAGAAAAAAAAGTGATTATGACTGGGATCGAACCCTGCCCGGCAAAATAGAACTCTGACGCTCTAACCGCATGGCCAGCATAATCTCGGTATTGAGTTTATGTGTATTTGTTTTTACACTACATGCTTGGATACGCCGACTTGTAATTGCGCTTCTTTATTAACATTTATACCTAATAAAAATGATAATAATGGATGAATATGTATTTGAAGTTATTTGCAGGTATTATATTAATTAATGTTAAATGAGTATCATCATTTTCATTTATTCTAACTGCAATAGTCATCAAAGTATAAGGCATTGTGAAGTGATACACTATGTTTACATCACATACATATATTACCCGTACACACACATACACAAATTACTCACCAAAATGCAGGGCACCATCAGTTCTGGATACAGATTGAGCATTTTTTCAGTATGGATGACTGAGGTCATCTACGAGCATAATGCTGTCACCTATCGGAATTTTTTCAAACTAATTTTCCGGAGAATCTCATCTGGAATACAATATTTCTAATTATTTCTAAATTATTCAATTTTATACTATGAATTGATTTTTTTAACATTCAGACAGGTGGCAAGGACTGACGCAAACACGAATTTTGGGTGAAAAACGTATAAAAATAGAATAATTAGTGATTTTTCATCTGAATGATGTGGCCGCCATCTTGGAATTTGAGCGCGGCAAGTCAATTCATAATTTTTTCATTATTCTTTCTAATTTTTTTAATAAAAATATTCACTATATACAAAAAATTGTTGTTTACATCAGTCCCGGCATTAATTCCTCTGTAATTTGGTACCTAATTTTATAAAAATAATAGTAAATTGGCGAAGAAATTAGAAATATCCCGATCCCATGTATTTAGATAGGGGGAATCAGTCGCCTCTCTGACTTCAGCCCAGCCTTAACCATCATCAGAAATACAAAAATCTGTGGAATTGTAAGTTGACTAATAAACCGAGTTGGTAAAAACAATTACAGTTATCAAAGTGATTTATCATTGCAATTTTGAATGTCACAAAACTCTATTTTCCTATCAATGAATTAAATAAAGAAATCGTCGAAAACATTGTAGATAAAAAAAAGACAGAAGGATGCCGTTTTTTTACTATTCTTAAACCCTATGGAATTTGACCAAAACAATGTGATTATAGCAATAAATCAATGTGTATAAGGTATCAGTTTCGCATAAAACATTCCAGTGATAAGAAAATTTATTATTCCTCCATTATAACGTGAATGATTTTTGAAACAGTGTAAAAGTATTGTTAGTTTTTTATTTGTCAGGAATTTCTTAAAAAGGTAAGTAAATATTAAAATTTTATAACTAATTGAATACATTGTATTGTAGTACTAACTAATCATAAATCTCGATATTATTCATATCTCCATCAATTCATCGTAGATTATTAGAACCATTTGTAGCGTAACATCATTCGTGTTGTTTTGTAGTATTGATGGGTAGTTAGTCTATTTTATCAGCGATCAACGCTGAATAATTTTTTTAATTAAATTTAATATCTGTTTGCCTTAAGCATCGGATATTAATAAATAGTAAACAAAAGTACTGTCTTCCGAAATAAAAACAAAAAAGCAGTCATAAAAAACTAAAAATGAAAAGAAAAAAAGAAAGTCTCGTGAAAGACAAGATAAAGTTAAAATCCCGTTTCACCATGTATACTCACCAAAAAAAATACGAAGAAAAAACAAAAAATTATGCGCGAATTGCAACCAAACGCAAATTCTATGAGTGTAAAAAATGAAAAAGCAATGTTAAGAATGCGTACATTACAAAGAAATTCTCAATACCGGCTAATTGAAAATATTGAAGCGCAACAAAAAATAGCATCATGGCGAAGTGACAAAGATTTTAGGTCCTCTGAGAATCTGACAAATAAGCAACGAGTGTCTCAATTACGTCTATATGATGATATAGAGCACTAGAAAATATTGAAATTCAAAAACGTATGTCGTCTTTACGAAGCGATGAACATTATAAAGAATCTGAGAATCTAAGAAATTGGCGACGAATAAAGAAATTGCGGCTAAACGATACTTACAGAGACAACGAGAGTATCGATACGAAACTACGAATTCGAAATTTACGAAAAAATCGTACTTTTCGTTCGGATAAAAATTCCCGAAATCTTCGTCGGATACAAATGTTGAGACAAAGCGAACAATTTGCAGCCACTAAACAAAATCGACAACAAAATCAAACAAATCGAAAACAAAACTAAAAGCGATTTAAGGATCCACAGTTTCTCAACGCTTTAGAAGAGCAAGAATGATATCCGGTATGAAACAGTCGAAGCGATATTCTTTAAGTGATTATAACCTGGATTCAACAAAAGAAAATGCTACAAAGAGAAATTACATATAAAACACGTGAAAATAATACAAAACGTGACAGAATGCGATTACTTCAGCATTGCTGTTTATACAAACGAAATACAAACATAAAAAAGAAAAAGAAAATGAGAATATATCAATGGAGTGATGCTCATTATTGAAATCGCGGAAAGTCTATCGATGCTAAAAATAAAAAAGACATGAGAGCTAACGATGTTCTCGTCCTCCGTGATAACATGTACAATAGTTTATTGAAGAATAAACACAATGATTCATTGGTCAGATTAATACTGCAGTTCATTCAATTGAGAAAAGAAACATCATCAATAACATGTTGTTGCTGTGAAGGTATACTTTTCAAGCATTCTGTTGTTTAATTGAATAAGCAAAAGATC